ACTTATGCAGAAAGGCTGAGGGAACTTGGTTCATTTAGTCTAAAGGAGACCAAGAGAGGATTTAATAGTAGCCTTCAACAACTTAAAGCAGGGTATGAAAGAGGATAGAGCTAGTCTGTTCTCAGTGGTGGCAGGTGACAGACCAAGGAGCAACAGTCTCAAGTTGCAGTAAGGGAAGTTTAGGTTAGATATTAGGAAGAATTTTTTCATTAGGAGTGTAGTAAACCAATGGAAGAGGTTCCCCAGAGAGGTTGTGGACTCTCCATCCTTGGAAGTTTTTAAGACCTCACTAGACAAAGCCTTGTTTGGGATTGATCTAGTTGGGAATGGTCCTGATTTGAGCAGGGGGATGGATTAGATCAGTGTTTCTCAACCAGTGGGTCACAACCCAAAAGTGGGTCGCAAGAATATATAAAAGGGTCACGAACAAACTTTAAAAATGGATTAACATACTTAAAAAATGGATTTTCCTTTAAAGGAGAAAAATGTGTAAATCTGTAGCTTTTCCCTTGGAGGCTGGCGGTGCGAGGGGCTGCCTGGGGCCTCCTGTGGCCCCCCCTCCAGCCCCACATACTGGTGGGCAGCAGGTAGGGAGTGAAGGGCATTGGGTCAGAACTGGCCACTGATGTTTACAAATGGGTTCTGGTACAAAAAAGGTTAAGAACCTCTGGACTAGAAGACCTCTTGAGGTCCCTTCCAACCCTAATTTTCTATGATCCTCTGGTAGCTGCTGCTGCCTGTCCTGGATCAATACTTGAATCCAAGACAAAGCTTTATTTTCCCCCCAGTGTTGACTGGGGGGGAAAACCTCATCTTCGATTTGAGTAAATACAGTAATTATAATTATAAAATCTACCATCTATAATTTTCTGTGTATAGAATCTAATTATTGGGTAGTTTTCTTAAATTTGAAATCATCTTGGATTCAGGAAAATATGGTAATTGTAGTAGCATTTTAAAAATACTACTAAGCCTCCCTGCAATACTTCAATGATTCTTACATACTACATGGGGAATGGAGAATGTGTGCATGTATGTATATTAATTTCCATTCCAATTTTTATTTGGTCTCCAACTTCTTTTATCCTTTCAAATTTGCTGTCTGTATATACCAAAGCTGATTCTGTTCCTACATCTTGGTTTTTGTATTTCTGTTTTGGGTGCTTCTCACAGAAGAGGTATAAGCCACATGTACTGTATGCATAATACTTCTTTATCTGGATTGTAATGTGATGTTTTCCAAAAAGAATTCACATAAGCACGTTATTTATTCTTTTTGACTGGGGAAGAAGTTAGTCCTAATCTATAACTAGAGAACAGAAAACTGGTTAACGACACTGTATATAACATAGTATGTCAGGATTCCTGGAATTCAAACCCAAATCTTCCATGCTCACAGGCAGAGGTCTGCACTACAGCATCACCCAGCAGCTAGCCAAATGCCAGCTCCAGCCCCATCTGGCTTTCCTATGAGGTTTCCAACGGGGAACCGGTGACCTGGGAAATAAATGGCAGCGATAAATCCTTGATGAGAGGGCTCTAAAACCCTCCCACTTCCTCTGGATCTTTGTTCCAGTAACAGTGGGCACCTACATAGATGACCGATGCCTCCTCTGGTGCATTCTAACTAGAACATGTTGGAGCAGACTCAATTAATAGAGTCTACTGGAATGTGCTAATTAGCATGCTGCAGAAGCCGTGTAGTTGCCATGAGGGTATTTGGTGCAACAGATCAAATATACCATATTTTGGGAAGTTATGTGTAGGATTCATGAATTCTGATGGGTTCACTGTGAGGGGTGTGGATTGCAGTAGCAGTGGAGATGCGTTGACAGGTTAAGCATTTCTTGCAAAGGCAAGGCTGTCCCCCACTTGATGTCTGCATTTAGTAGCAGAAGTATGTCCTGTTTAAGTTAACCAGTTCCCTGACTGGGAAATGGCTCACAATTTTGCGAAGTGCAGTGGCTCTGATACCGGAGGTAGGAATAAGCAACCTGTTCGTCATGCTTCACAATGGGGTACAGGGTGGGTTGGGGTGGGATGGAGAGGGGGGAAGTGCTTGAACCCATATTTGAGGGGTCCCAGTGGTGGGTGACTTATGGCTAGAGGCATTTTCACTCTTCTGCTTTCCCTTCTCTCCTAAACATGAGTTCAGAGCACTTCAGTAGCTTGCAAATGATCAAAGTCTGTGGTATGTTTGTGTGACCTGAGGGAGAGGGGCAGTGGGTGCATACTTTTTTGGTTCCCAAGGGCTGGGGGGCAAGATAAGGGCCCACTGTCAAGTAGGGGAGAACACAGCTGGTTGTCAAAGCGATAGTTTTTATTGTACAAGCAGTGCAAAACAGATAATTTATTTTAAAAGTACAGCAAAAGAAAGAAGGAAAAAAAACAGAGGGGGTGGGGATGATGACAGCAGAGTTCTGGCTACATACCAGAGTGGCTAGTTGCAGAAGTGTGTGTGGAAGGGTGAAAAACGCCACAAGGTTGGATGCCTGGAGGACTGACTAGACCCTGCCACAGAACACATGGCATTCACATACAAAACTGAACCAGTTAAAAATACCATATTTTCTCAAACAGAACACACAACTTTTCCCCCTAAACCAATTAAGGAGGAAACTGGGATGCACATTATTTGCAAAAAGTATGAATCCCCATTATCTGGAAATGTATCAGAGTGGGGAGCAGCAACAACGACAACTGCCACAGGTCTGGGAGCCACAGGAATTAATGCTGCCACTGTCATACTTCTGAACTAGTGGGGAGGCCCCAGCCAGATAATATGGCCCTGCACACCTGCTGCCATCAAGCTCAGGTCCCTAGCTCATGTTTCTCAGTTACTTACCTGTACTACAAAGTAGTGACTTCATTTTCTTCAAGCTTTCTTTTAAAAACAGGGTGTTTATTATATTCTGGGGCACGTTATAAGCAGAAAAATACAGTAATACTTGATTTTTGCCACCCTTCTCCCAGCTATACTTCTGAACTATTCCAGGGGGATTTAAAGTGGCTTAACAGACTAGCAGAATATCTGTTTGCTTTGACTTCAAAGCTGCACTTTAATGGTTCTAAGTACTATAAGTATTCATACCCTTCACTACTAGAAAAGTAAGAGATGTAATGCATGGTTTTAATCTAGAAGGGTATCTTCTCTCCAAACATCTACCCATATGAGTTATCTGAAATACACTTGGTAGTTGGTATGTCTCTTATAGCATCCGCACTTAGTGGTATCTGATTTAATAGTCATTAACATAATAACTGATATCTCATTAAAAAGCATCTCTGCATCCCTGGTCCCAGTGGCCCTCAATCTTCTTGCCCAGAAACCCGAAAAGTCTTAAATCCACCTGCGTTAGTTTGACCTGACTCACCCAATGTCTCTGTACACAGGGTGCTTAAGCGGGGCTCTTTTGGTTTTTTTATCTAATAGCTGATTGAATCAGCTATTAGATAAGAGTGCCAAAAAGGCCTGTTGAAGCACATGATCTATACAGATGCTGAAGAGAAGGGTTGAACCAACATGCTGCCTCTTCTAATAAAGTGCTGTTTTTGGTTTTTTCCCCCCCCCATGTCTGTCAGTAGTCATAATGACACGTGGTTTACTGGCAGAAGGCCACCTCCCTTATTTACTTTCTTGGCTAACTTCAGAAGTTCTTTGTATAGCCCAAAACTATAGACATACAGAATTCATTTTAGTTTTCCATGTATAGAATCTAATTATTGGAGGTTTGCCTTAAATTTGTCCACCCACCTGACAGCGAGGGGGAGCAACTGCGAGGGGGAAGCAGCAAAGGGGGCAAAGAGCCTGAGCCGTCCACACCTTGAACACCCACTACTTATCCCCCCCACTGCTGCTTGTCCCGTGTTGTGTCCCCCCCCCACCGTGCCCCTAGCACTGCTTCTGCCCCCCAAATCTTTCCCCCTGCAGCCTCTGGTCTCTGCACCCCACAGCTTCTGCGGCCCACAGCCTGTCCTGCTGCCAGCCTGCCACAGCCTCTGCCCTCTTGCAGCCTCTGTCACTTATAACCAAGCATGGCTCCAGCCCCTCTCTGCCCAGCAGCATGTAAGTTGCTGCCACTACAACCTCTGCTGCATAGTAATAAGTAACAAAGGGAAGAAAGAGTATGCAGAGTGTGAAAAAGGCCTTGAAATCTTCATGTGCAAGGGGATACTCAGCCAACAGAGGCAGCCCTAAACAAACTCATTTGCAACAAATTTAGTTCTCTACAAAAAGGTGAAATACACTAAGGCATTGTAATAACTTTACCTGCATCAAGATATTTCTTTAAAGATTCATCAAGAGCAGGAACTGGCAGTGAAGGAAGAGAAAGCTGGTACTGAAACGTTCGCTCTTCAGAGGACTCAAGCACTTGATTTTCCATGCTGTCGAGCTGAAGCACAATGGTAGGAATCTATTATGAAGCCTGCATCAGACAGGATGTTTCCATGAAGCCTCTCATGCCCCCAGGGTAGAAAGGGCGCGCTATGGGCAGGCTTCCTAGGCTCAGCTTTAACAGGCAGTAACTAAGGATGTAGGATTGCTGTTACTCTCCTCAAACATCCTTTGCTTGTAAACGTTAGCCTCCACGACAAGCGCACAGGCCTGCACCACCAGGGCAGTATCCCACTCCCCGCTTGCAGGGAGGGTTTTCAGGCCTAAGTAGCGCAGTTTCGTCCTCAGCCTTGGGTCCTGGGCCTGCCCAGACCAGCCTGCCTGCAGGCGGCGAAGGACGGGGCGAGGGGGCCGAGGAGGGGCAGCTGTGCTAAGACGCGGCGAGGCGGCAGGGGGATGGCGAGGAGCAAGCGACGCGGCCGGGCCGGCTGGGAACCGGCTCAACCCGCTCGGCCACCAGCGCCACCTCCGAGCGCCCCTCGGGCCGGGCCGGGCCGGGCCC